GAGAGAGGGGTCAGGAAACTTTTTTTTTTTTCCCCTTTGTAACAGTGAACTGTTAAACGCTGAACTTCAGAATGTAGTTTAATGAAATGAAGTGCTGTGGAAATGTCTTTCGAGAAGGCTGTGCGTTCCTGAGACAAAAATGAACTGCAAATAAGGGTAAATACCTTTAACAAGTTAAATGATACTTCCATGTGGAAATGTTATGAATTAATAATGCTATTAGAGAAAAGCTGAACTCATCCATTCCCTCTGTACTGGAAAAGTTATCATTCACTTGCATTATTCAGTCTTTCCAGACATTGAGGTCCAAACTGTGGAAAGATAGATTTGATAACATTTATTCCATTGGTAACAGATCAGAGCTAAGATAAAATTATGCATGATCCTTATTTTGATATTTCGATGAGATGATATTTTTGTTCAGTAGTCTGATAAATGTTTCCTCTGAAAGTACGTTAAAGAAAATGAATGAGCAAGTGCTGATTTTCAGAGTGATCCAACAACAGAGTGTATATAAGCTAAAAAACCAAAGAGTTGGAACCAAACTGTATTTGTGAAATCATATTATGTAGTAATTTTGTAGACTGAATCTTTGTGGGAGAAATAGAAGCAATCAAAATGTGCTTTTTTCCCTTCTCCACCCCCCTACCCCACAAGAGGACAATGTATAGAAAGTGCTATAGAATTCCAGAAATCTTGCACCATATTTGTTTTCTTATCTTGTAGCAGGTAGCTATTGGAATTAGGAAGGTATTACATAATTTTTTAGATAAGAAACAAAAGCCAAAAATGAGATCTCTAGTGATAAATAAAGCTTTCTGATTAATCATGACATATGAACTCTAGGTATTTTGTATTGGTATTTAGCTACATCATAAATCCAGGGCTCTTCAAGTTCTAGGATGAATAATGTTACAGCTGCTTATCCAATGGCTGCATGGCAATCGTGCCTTATTTTTCTTACAGTAACAAAGGTTTCAGGAGCTACCTGAATCTGGTCTGTTGAGCTATCCTATTTGTGAACTAAGATTGAGGTTTGCTTTGTTAATTTTGAAGTTGGCCCTGTATTTTTTAACATATTCTTCCTTAGAATGTTTCTTCTGCTAAATCCTGTTTTTACAGAATGTAGCATTGCATTTATCAGCTCTGCAACTGTCTTAAAATACAGGTATTTGGAACATTTGAACTCATGCCTATGAATCTTTAAAAAAATTAAGTCTGAGTATATAAATGGGATACATGGGTTCTGTCTGCCCTCAGGGCTCCCTTAGCTTTCACTTACTAGCAATATTATTTTCAGTCCTTGTTAAGAGTAATTTCTGCCCTTTTTTCCCTTACAGTAAAGCTTGTAAAAGGTCAGACATTTGATATCATTACCTTCCCTAGAATGGTGGGTTTCTGTGTGGCTTTCTGGATGGATGTTTATCTTAGTGAGCAGCTGCTAATTTTTTTTTTTTTTTTTTGAGCTGTGGCTGGTCAGAGGAGGTCTCACAAAAGCAAAGCATGCAGTGAATTGTCTGTGAAGGGCCAACTGTTCGTTCTTTTTCTGGCAGTAGGGAAGTTGGCTAATTTGTGTGTCCTTTGAGACAGACTTGATTGAAAGCTGTCATATTTGTTCAATATTGTGGGAATTCATGTCCCTCTGTTATTCCTTTTCTGGATCCAAAAGTGGGTATTTCAGAACTCTTATTATGCTTTGTATGCATCTTTGTGGTGAGAAGAGGGTGCAACTGCAAGGAGTCACTTTGTGGGAGCTGAGTCTCTTCATCTCAGCAGGTTGTTGCTGAAATTTTTATTCTTATCAGTGTAAAACCTGAGCATTCCTTTCAAAGGTTTTCCTGCAGTGAAATTTTCTCTGCTTCTTTGATGTTATTTGTATCTGGAGTCAATTCAATTCAGAAGTAGGACTTCTGAACTTTCCTTAGGAAAAAAAAGAAAAGAAGAAGAAAAAAAAAGAGGAGAGATTATTTGTCAGAGGAAGCGTAACCTAAAAGGAGGAGGGAATATAGAGTTAAGGACAGCAGACCTCTCGTGGATGAGATCTTTGTATGCAAAAGGCCTTAGGGTGGGGTACCCCTCCAGTGGCCTTGAGTGGTAAGCTGTAACCATGGTAAACTGCCCTGGCAAACTTTGTGTTGATGTTTTGGATCTGGGAGAGGAATTTGATGTGGTTGCTAATGCTTCACTTTACAGAACCTAAAGCACATTCTTTCCAGGCTCTTAGTTGTTTATGCCGCCCTTCCTTCCCCCCTTTCTTGTGTCCCTCTTTCCGTCTTCTTGACACATCCTTTTCCATTGAGACTACTAACAAAGTGATTTCAGTACATTACAGAATGTAATGTGAAGTCCTCCTGACTATTCCTTTGATCAGAATTTTTTGTTTCTTTGCCTTTCAGACAAAATTAACACTGGAAGTAAAAGAACACTAGAAAGTCAACAGAAGAGACTGTAAAATATGTTCATTTAAACATTTCCTATTGTTTACTGATACTGCTGTGAAGTTTCATCTTAAAGCAAATTAAAATTGCCTCTTGGCTTCGAAATTATAAATAAAAAAATTTCTTGAGGGTGATTTCTTACTAAGAGGATGAAAGCTAAAGAAACTCAGGCAGGGGCTTAGATTTCCATTTCATAACTTCCCTCTTGAGGCTTGTTTGGGGTTCAGTGAAATTGTTACTTAAGTTTATCTAAACGTGTTCACTGATGATATAGTAAGCTGGGTAACTAGCACTGATGAAAGGCTTTTGGATCAACTGATTTGATGGTTAACATGGCAGTCTTGGTGTAGATGCTTCTGCTTTCTCTTGATCCCTGTTTGTTTTCTGACAGTATGGGGAGCACTTTTGGGATTGTTGTATTTAAGAAATTAGTGAAAAGACTGTGCAGTGCATTTGAATCCCGCCTCTCCATATTTTTTTTTTTCTTTCTTTCAAATGTGTATTTTCCAGGTCTAAAAAGACCAAAACAAACAGGCCCCCTCCAGAAAAAAACCAAAAGAAAACAAAACCAACCTCCCTGATTTAAAACTCCCTCAACAAGCCTATATTAGGTTTTAAACAATTGAAATCCTACCTTATGGTGTACATTATTGTAATTATGACACCTGCATACTTTGTTGCTAAAGGGAAAACTCCATATTTCTATCCAAGCCGCACACTGGGGAAAAAAAACCCCTTTCAGTGTATGAAAAAAAACAAACCTAGAAATCCCCATCAGCCTTTTAAAGAGTTCTCTTGGACTTTTCTTTGAGTTTTAAAAAGTGTACAAGAACGAAGAGGACTTTATATATTGTATTCTAGCAAGTATATTTTTGCATGAAATTTTGGTGAAGATAGCTTTGGTACTTTATGATTTTTTTTGGCTAAACTATTTCCTTCCTGGCTAAATGAGGTTATAAGTTGAGTTAAATGGGTTTGGGGCTGGTTAGAGACAAGGCAATCTCTAAGTAAGTCAAATGCTATTTATAGTTCATAAAGGTAGAGATAAATCTGGTTTGCTTTCAGCTTTGCATCTAGATTGTCAGTTAAAGGATTCTACTTTATTAGAGAACTTGAGAATGCATTCTCTTACTCTCTTGGGCTGATTCCATAAACACATTTCTGGTTTTTCTTCTGTTGACTGAAATAGAAAGCTGACACTTGGTGATACCTGAATAGAGTATGCACATATTGCATCTCGCCCTGGTGCTTGGTTAGAGTGGTTGTGCAGTCACTGTTGAACAAATTATGTTTTCTTTTGAGGGTCTGGATAATCATTTGATAGTTAAAGGACGATCACCATGGTTCATTTTCAAAATTCAAAAGAGTTACTGAGTTTTCGTATGGCTATTCAGACTTACACATTTTAGGTTGTCTTCCTCATCTTTTCAAGCTACTTAGTATTTTCAGTGACTCAATGTGACAATTCATATGTATGCATTTTTTGGTAGCTTTCTGTTTAAGTATTCATTATGAACAAATGGCCATGAGATTAAATTGTTCTGCTGGGTTTTGTGCGAGTACACAAAAATTCCACAGATGTATAGTTGAAGAAGCAAAATACTTGAGTGCCAGTAGCTTACAAGTAACCTTCTCTCACACTTATGGTTTCTCTGCATCTTCTGATGTTGACTGTCGAAATAAACCATATTATGACACTTAGGAAAAAGTGACCCTCTAGACTTGCTTGTCATTAAACTGGTAAAAATATTGAACTACTCCTGTATTCTAAGTTGAATTGTTAATTTTGTCAGACTCTGTATTTTTTTATTTGTCTGAATTATTCCAAAAAATACAATTTGGATCTGGTTCTGTAATCCTCTAAGAATTGATTTCTATCAGTGTCGAAGACTTCTATTATAGTCTAACGGTCCTGGGTTAAGATATTATGTTCTCTCTGCATAATTTCGTTCACACTGCCAATGCTTCATGTAGTGGTTAAAAAAAAAAATTTTAAATTCTCATCCTCTTTAGAAAGCACACTTGATTTGTATAGCTTTTTGTATTTTGTTCAGTTTAACATGGAAGATACTTGTTTAGTATGTAAACTGTATGCACCTTTTTGGGAATGAAATCTAAATAAAATTTCACATTCTTATGCATGGAGCCAAAGCTAAAACCTTGCATTAATTTACAGTAATATCCCAACAAAAAATACTGTGCAGGTACAGAAATGCAGGAAGACCTCTGAAGCAGAAGCCATGTCTCTGTTTTTAATCCACTTTCTTTTGTTGGTTAATTGATTATTGGGAAGGTGGATAATATTAACAACAGTGGATTCATAAATGCTGGCTATCATTGAAGAATTTCAGTTTGTGTATTTTGAAAGCAAATATAAATACTTGATTTGCTCGTATAAAATTACATTATAAAAATTTCAAAACATGAATGTTGTTTCCATTAAAATAGCACAGGACATTGTTAGTATCTCTCTTAAATTTTGTTAACACTTGATGCTACGTAAAATGGGTTATGTTAAAGATGAAGCTGAACTTAGGTTATATTGTCTTTTATAACTTCTAGAAATATAAAGAGAAAGATAAACACAAGCAAAAATATAAGAAGCAATCGGAGTCCTCACCATCCCTGGTTCCATCTCTTACTGTAACTACAGAGAAAGTAAGTTAATGTGTTTTCTTCCTCTTCCACTTCAGTTCTTGTGTTGAAATTTCATGATGTAATCATTCCATGATGTAATCATTCCAATGTATATATTGGAGCTTTAAAATGACATAGATTCTATAATTATCAAACACACTTGGTATTTTTTCCTATAATGTAAAATCCTAAAATACTTGGAAGTTTATAATATGAAGAAAGGCTTAGATTTTTGTAATTGAATAGCAGGTGATTTAATGGCCCCAATCAGGTGCCACTGATACTCCAGTAAGTTTTATTTCATTGATTTATGTTTAATAATTTGAGAAGTTTTAGAAAATCTTTCCTTTGTAATTCACTTGTTCAGCAACAGCTCAGCACACACCTGTAAGCATTTAAGCTGGTAATTAGGAAATTGCAGCTTATGCTTCATATACTTGTAATATCACATTGCCTTTTTAGCAGTCTGCTCCATTAGGTTCTGTGGTCTTTCTGTCCTGTTAATGTGCTAGCAAATATCTAACTCAAGGGACAACATAGAGGGTTAAATAATAGGGACCGTTCTCATTGTACTCTACAAGAATCACTTTTGCTATCCGCCAAAAAAATAACACTAATGATAGTATTACAAAGTGGGTAGCAGTATTCAGAAATGGATTTTCTGACTTCAGAGTTGGAAAACATTTGTCCCATTCTTGTGGGAATGTTTGATGTCCCAGTCAGGGAATCATGGTTTGAATTAATTAGCCGTCAGTATGTAGAGCACTGTTTTTTAGCCGAAACTTGTGTTAACTGTATGTAGTTTGGTTGCTGAGATGCAACATTCAACAAATGTGTCTATCTGCATGTGGTACACGAAGACCTTGTCAGGACAGGGTAAAACAATTGAAATACCAACTTTCTCTAGTCCCTGGATAACTAATGGTATCAACTTCAAGAATCATCACCAAGAAAGTTAGTTTTTTAGTATGCTTTGGATATTTCTTTGTTCTCAATAATAGGAATATTAAATTGAGGGTATGTACCTGTTAACATCCCATTATTTGTGACTCACGTTTCTGATAAACTAGTCTTGTTTCTGGTTCTACTGTATTCTTTTTGACACTATTATGCCAAGTGAGAATTACTAGTCAGTGGTTTTCTGAAACTCCCAATAACTCTTTATTTAAAAAAAAAAAAAGAAAAAAAAAAGAAAAGAAAAGAAAACTTGCTGCTTTGCTGTTTTGATTTGAGAGCAATTAGACGTTGCAATCAGTAGGTGTGACAGTTTTTATTGAAATTATCGTAGAACTCTGAATAGTACTGACTGGTCCATGTGATTTGTTATTTCATTGTATTAATTTGTCCTGAACATGTTCGTCTTGAGTCTGAGACAACTCATAAAACTCATTTTCTTCTGTGGGAACTTCCTTTAGACGATACAATTTTTGTTTGGGCTTTGTGCTATCTATGATCTTACCTTACTTGAATATATCCCTTTTGTACTACGCTTATCTAATCATCATCAAAAGTTTTAATGAAAAGTGATGTTGTTGTATATTTGTGTAAAAGTTAAAGAAAATATATTGAAATATTGGTTATTTTTGAGTCCTACCTATTAGAATTAGCTTTTAATGCTGAAGACACAGTTGGATTCTGTTTTTCTGCTAATCTGTTTTCTAATTGCTCCTCCCTAGAGTTTTCCTAATTACAAGGTTTACGACTGAATGGTGTACAGTTCAGTAAGGTGAACAATAGTAAAATCCCATTTTTAGCAGACCTTTATTTAATCCAAGTAAAAGATGAAAATGTTGCTGAGTTGTTGGCCATACTGTTGATCAAGATTGTAATATATATGTACATAGTATAGCAATAACTAAAGAGAATAAAAACTCTATAATTCTAGAACTTAAATTATAAATGAATTAAACTAAAACAGAAGTATTCATTGTGGAATTTAAATATCAACATGTCTCCTGTTAGTTTTCTTTTTTTAACCTTTTACACCCCGTGTTTCTTTCTATCTAAGCTATCTGCTTCATTTTCTACCTTCTTTTTATAGTGCTTCAGACCATCAGGAAAATTGCTGTTCCATTGTTTCTGTTTTTTGTTTGTTTGTTTTTTTTTAAATGAAGCTACTAAGCGTGATTATGTTTTTAAAAAAAAAAGTGTCTGCTGGCTATTTGGAAGTGTTTTCTGTGGCTAGCTCCTTCAGTTACCTTCCTTTAATTTTTGTTTCCTAAGTCCTTTTGACACCATTTACATGCATTTGCTTTTCTCAGTTATAAATTCATAGTGTGTTCCTCAAAAATTTGAAATTTTAATAATTAAACAAGCTTTGTTTTCTTGTGAGATAAATATTTGGTTCAGAATATTTTGTTAATGTTACTTTTGTGTATCCTTTTATATAGAGTTATCAGAATTGATTTGGACTTAATGTCTTTTTCACAGTAGTCTGTCTTTGCAGTGAATACATTATTTTATCATGCTATATAATCACTTCTGCTGCCGCATTGTTCCTGTTGGGGGTACTGGAACTTGAAATGAATTTTGGTTTTCCTTTTTAAAGAAGTGAAATCCTTTGTGATACAGTGGTAATGACCATTTATGCAGGTGATGCCTTAAAGCATGTTTTTGTCTGGATGAGTGGCTTCTTAAGATATATTCATGAAAGACAGCAGAATAAATTGTGGATTTACATTATGTGAGTTAGTATACTTGGCTTGCCTGTCTGCAAAATTTAATTCCAAGAAATTTTACTGAGGTTCAAGTCCAAATGCTGTGTTGAGTTACAAGTATGCGTTTTGTGCATCCCTGTAATGTCTCAGCAAACACTGCTCAGTCTGGATCAGTTAAGTTTGAAAAAGTTTGAAATTAGAAATTCTTGACTACTCTTTGATTAATGTATTAACAAATTTTTCACTTTTCTTTTGGGGCATAGATGCAGAATGTTTTAAGAAGGACTAGAATAACTTAGGAACTTGAGTTCTCTGCCTCTTTCGATGAGGTTTTCTTCTGGCCTTCCTCTTAGTTGGGAATTGCCATTAACCCTTTATTTAGTCCTGATAAAAGCTTCTGTCTCAGGTTTTGAGCTTTGGGAGGCTGGGCTTGTATCGAAAATTTAAAAATGTGTATCGTTTAACAGATCCAGAAAAATACAGGTGTCTTTTTTTTTTTTTTTTTCTTTAGAGGTTTTTTTAGTTAAAACCCCAAAACACTGATGTATGGAAAGATACACAAGACAATGTATCTGCTTTCAAATTGTAGCTAGTAACTAAATAAAAGATACTGCAAACAGAAAGTACAGCTGACTGAATTTTATCTGTAGAGATGATGGTGATAACCCTCCTCAGTTCACCCTCAGGATCAGCCTACTGTGGTTCCCAAGGGAGGTGATCAGATCCTACTGCAGTGGGATACAGAAGGCATGAAATAAGTAGAAAAATCTCTATTTGGATGACTGAACGTCACTATCCTACAGTAGTGTGGTGTTTGTGGGCTATGGGGTTGTGTGTGTGTTGATTTTTTTTTTTTTTTTTTTTTTTTTTTTTGGGGGGGGGGGGTGGTGTGTGTTGTGGTGTTTTTTTTTTGCTTGGACCATTCCCTTACCATCTGGCATTTTAGTGGATGATTACCTGCTGTGGTCCTTCCCTTCTCTGTGCAAGACTACTGGCCTATACATCTGTATTAGGGCTAACGGCTTCTCAAGCCTTGGGACGTACTGTGTATAGCAAGAATGATTATTACGCCTTTACCATAAATCTGTAGCTTTCCCAAAAGTTTTAAGACTTGCTGCAGATGGGTGGTATAACTCTTCAGGGTGCACAGAGTGATATACGGGGGTGTAAAATGACAGCAGCTCTCTGTGCACCAAGTTGGCAATGTGAAAGTGAGCTTTTAGGGGAAAAAAACCTGCAAACTGGTTTATGGGAAGCATAAAGGAACCCTGATACACACGGAGTTTGGTAATTGCACTGGCAAATACTGGTTGCTTTTTGAGAACAGGATTAGCATTCATGACATAGCTAGTCAAGTCCTCTCAAATAAACCAAGGAATGGTGTTGGGTGACAGCATCAGGGGAATCTCCTTTTTCGGGGATGTTTGTACTTAAATGGAGGAAAATGACTGACTGGAGTGTGAGCAGTGAAGGGGAGGGCCTCGAGTAGCATATTCCATTTTAAAAGGCTGTGCTGGGGGGAGGCGGGACTGCAGAGGCTGAAGCCAGTCATTAAATAACCAAAGGTGTTCTGCCTCCATCTTCAGATCCTTGCTGCCTGCCAGTCTCACTCTCCTGACCTCAAAACCCGCACCCCTCCCCCCCACACCTCCAACAAACAAACTGAAAAACCCAGTATAACTTTGCTATGGCATATTAGGGTTTTTTGTGACATTTATGTTAGGCCTTCATCTTTTAGAACTTAAGGTTTTAGAAAAGCAATTTGTTTAGGGGTAGGTAAGTTGTTGTATGAACCAATTAGCTTAATAATCTAAAGTTTGTGCTGCAGTTTTACCTTAGATCTTATTGCATATCTTGTGGATTCTCAATGCGTATCTGTTTTAGGGTACTTCGTTGCATTTAACTCCTTAAAGTAAGGAACATAATCTGGGAAAAAAAAACCTGATCAAGTGATACCAATTTGAGTGTCTATTGCATCATATTAGTGTTAAAGATACTCTGAGTAAGCATGTAGATTTCAGTATGCTTTATAGCACCTTCCAAAACAGAAATACCTGTTGGAGGAAAATTTTAAAAAGCAGAACTGCAATGTGCATGCATGTTCTCCAAAATCTGCTAGGAGCAGGATTCAGGCTTGCAGTCAAACCAAATCTGTGCACAGTATATGCAAATTAATGCCTACTTGTAATTTCCTAGCCCTGGCCAGTCTGCAGAGCTACATTAAACTCTTAATTTCCTTTTTAAAAGAAAAAAAAATCCACACCCCCCCCCGCAGTAAAGAAGAGATACAAGTAACATCAAACTATGATTGTTGATACCTATAGACAATTATCCTTGCAATTAATATTCAAATAAGTGGATAGGAGATAAAGATTAGGAAAGGAAGGAATTGAATAAGAGGAGAAATTCTGGATCCCAGAAAAAGCCTAACTTTTGTTTTGGGTTATTGCATGTCTGGAAACCTTTTATTCAAATGACCCAAATTTGAACCACTGCTTCTTAACTCAGGTCAAGTGACACATCAGTTTCAGGAAAATTGAGCATACTTGTGGACTTTGTAATAGTTCAAAAAGTTAACGACTAAACTTACCTTAGAATTGGCTCCAGCTTCATTGGAAACAGTTACCAGTATAGTAATATGAATTTGATGTAAATTACTTTTAACATTGTACTTTAACAGGCTTAAACTGATTTTTCTTCACCATTATTCAGAAAATCCATAATATATTTTTACTGTAGTTCATAGTAGGGCTATATTTGCAATTTTGAAGGGCTGTTTTGCCTTTCTTTTAGGCAGGTAAATTAAAATAAATTCTTTGCTAGCTAAAAATTGTTGGATTTTAGATGGGCTATGCAGAGTTTGTTTCATACCAGTGGATACTTTACAGATACTTCGTACATGTTCATAATGATGTATATTTTTCATTTAGAATATTGTATAGCGAGATTAGTTTTGTTATGATTTGGCTTACTTGCTATAGGAAGAAAAAATAGCAGTAATTGAACAGTATGAAAATATGAAACATTTGTTTATTCTTAATTTAATGCTAACATGGAGACATTGTTACTTGTGGACCTTAAAGACATAATGGTACTCAGCATGAGTTAGTATATAAAATTTCAGCTTCAGATGTTAAGATAAGTAGAATCACTTCCCTCAAGTGGCACAGAGGAACTGACAAAGTTGAATTTGATTCTGTAGTAGGTTTTAATACTGGATTTCTATTTAGGCTGTGCTCTACTTCTTTTCACTCACGAGTGAAGAGTTTAGAAGCATTGTCTTTACATGGCTTTTTACTACACTAGGTCATATAGGTTTGGTCTAAGTGGGATGGAGAGTTTCGGGACTAGCCTAAGCTAATGGGGAAAGTGCTTGAAGAGTGAGTCTGGTTGTTTTCTGTGGTGGCCTATACTGCATGGAGACACTGACAGTGTAAAACAAAGCATGAAACCGAAGCAGTTCAAATCCTTCAGATTCACGTGTTACTTTGCTGTCTTTGGAGTCGTTTGGGTCTGTTGTTGTAGTTTGGAAAGCAGTACCCATCTTAGCTTGGTTTACAGTGTTTGCATGGAACAAGTTGAAAAAACAACAGTGGAAACTAATACTAAAATAACAGACTAGCAGTAGAATTCAAGTAAAGCAATTTCCATGGAAACCATGTTTCTAAAGAAGCTATTGGTCAAGTGGATTACTCCCCCCGAAATAAAGATTACTCCTTCCCCCAATAATTAATACAGGCCAGTACGCAAATAGATTGAAATTTTCATCTTCCTCAAAGCTTGCATATTTAGTTGTCTTCTGGCATTTGCAACTGAAAAGTAAGTTCTATGTAAATGTCTTAGCTGTTTTAGTGAAAATATGGAAGACTTTTTATACCAGCCATACAAAGCTGTATGTAAAAATGAGGAAATATTGTGCTATAGGCCTAAATTCAGCAAGCATCCCAGTTGGGGAAGAGAAAACTTGAGTATATGCTCAATTTTGAGAGGCATGTTTTTGTGTGGTCTTTAATGGAGACAAATTTAGGTACTATTTAAACTCTCTTCTATAAAGGACTGAAAAACTAAGCTTGTTTTGAACAGATGAGTAGCTTCTAGGTTTGATTAATATTTTTTTGTTGAAGAAGCTTTATACAGTCAAAAGGCTATTTTACTAGCTGGTTTGAGTATAAATAACAATAGAATATTATTTCCTTTTTTGTAATTTTGCTATAATTTTCTTTCTGCTGATATTAAAATTCTTCTATCACAGGTCCAGATTTTTTTTTGATTATGAAAACAATTATATTCCTTTGTGTGGTTTCCTAATGCTGTGCACACAATTTCCCTGCCCACCTAATTACATTCTTTGAACCTATTTTGACTATTGTTCACCAATATGAACGATTCTGTCAAAATTTAATGGAAGAATAACGGGCCTAAAGATAAAATTGTTGAAAGCCCTGTGAAGAGTTTATGGGTGTAGGAGAAGGGCCAACATTTTTGGGGATGGGTGGGGGTTGAGGAAGAAATCTTCAGTGGGAGCTCACGAGTGTGTTACGCTTTTTTCTTCCTGTCAGGCAGCAGGGTTGTAGTAGGTAGCCAGTCATTCCTGCCTGTGTCTTGGCCAACTAGATCTCATGTGTTGTCTTTACTTCATGATACTTAAGCAACTGACTGAACGGTTCAGATGGCAGGGAATACTAGTGTGATGATGGGAAGTGAAGACATAAGGGGCAGTTGGGCTTGTTGCAGTTGATTTTGGTTCAGTGTTGAGACTATAAAGTCTTAAAAATACAAGTTCCTGGGTTCTGAAGCCTTCATCAGTTCCACTGCTGATGGAATGATGTTTCCAGTTTGACAAAACAAACTGCATAAAAATTGTATTTTCAGAAAAGCATTTGAAATCTCATTTTTTCTTTTTAGTTTTTAATTTTAAGCAGTAAAATAACTATTCTATTTAAATAGAATATAAAGACTGTATAACCATAGATTTGAGATTAATCCATTGACCTCAATGAAGTAAAAATTTCAACCAAAGCTGATGTAATTTTTGTGCATTTTTTCCACTAAATGAAGTTTTATGCACTTCAATTGTTTGCTGAAAATCTTAGCAATTCAGTTACATAAACTCCTGCTGTTGCCAGTTACCTTAGTATTTGAACACTTCTAAATTTATTTGAAAGAATGAGTTCTTTTAAACAGTTCTTTTGTTACAGTTTTTTGTGTGACCTGTTTCTTTTCTCTTATTTCTTTTCTCTTATCAAAATGCTAGACATACACAAGCACTAGCAACAACTCCATGTCAGGCTCCTTGAAGCGGTTGGAAGATACCACAGCTCGATTTACAAATGCAAATTTCCAGGAAGTTTCTACACACGTTTCAAGTGGAAAAGATTCTTCAGAGGCTAGAGGGTCAGAGAGCAAAGGGAAGAAATCTGCAGGTCATAGCTCAGGTCAGAGGGGAAGAAAGCCTGGTGCTGGAAGAAATCCAGGAACAACTGTGACTGCAGCTAGCCCTTTTCAGCAAGGTATTAATTGTTATGCTGTAACATGACTTCTGCTTTGACATGAATTAGAAATCTTACATATTTAAAACTTGAAAAGTAGTTCATCCTTTATCCTCAATAATGAGAATGTTGTTTCATTTGGGGAAAAAATAACTTTTTTCAGGGAAAAAGCATTCATTGTCATAACACGAAAAAGAAAGTCGTGCATCTTTAAAGAGCAAAACTGATGCTTTTGTTTAGACTGTTAAGGTATTCTCTTTAACTGCTAAAATCGGAAGTTTCTTTATGGGCTGAAAAGTTAGTCTGGGGTAAGATTTAACATATGAATTTGAGTCTAGGGGTCTGTCTTAGCTCTTTAAGGGAATAATACTACTGTTTTGTAGTTAGTGCATATTAGAATGGAACTGGACTACCTAATGTATAGGATGCGGTGGCCCCTAAATAATTTTTCAAGATGCAGACATTTTAAATACATGATTTTCTTCAAAGTGAAAGACCTTTTTACTTTTTTTTTTTTTCATTGAAATACATAAGCAGATGATGATTATGTGACAAGCATATACAGTTTATTTATCTTATGTAATGCAAGAAGTTTGATGTTTTGAACATGCTAAAACCCACTAAATGCACTGTTGACACTTCTGAAAAGCTAATTTTATTATGGCATCTTCATTAGAGTTGAAAAAAGATGAAAAAATTTTAAAAGTCTATTTTTGATTACTTAACTAATAGAACATGTTATTCTGAAACGCAACAAACTAGACCTTCTATAAAGTAATTGTTTTTCCATAATTTTCACTGTGGTGTGTAGTAGCTGACTGTCCTTTCTGCTTTATGATGTTGCTCTTTCTTTGAGTTTATTTATGCAGTGAGCACTTTTAAATTTGTCTAGAACTTTTTCAACATTTCAGGCTTTTTTTACTTGAAAATAAAAGTGTTTTTTTGTTTAAATTCTCAAAACTTTGAAAATTGCCTTCTGGAATCCTGCATTTAAAGAAAAATCTTGCTCACTGCAAACAGTATCCACATGCACCCACCCATACAAAATTACTGAATTTCAGTGAAAGTAGATGTTTGTATTTCCTAAGTGTACTCCATTTTCTGCTTTGCATGCTCTAACACAGTGATGAAATGACTGCCTTCCAAATATTGCAGAAGCAATGTAATTCTATTACACAAAAGATCTTTATGGTTCTCTGACAGTGCTAAAGAAATCTTAAAATGCCAATTTCATACACTTTTCTCCACTTCCTCTCCTGTCGTTTTGAAAAATACCTCTTCTGTGGAACACCTCCTTAGCCAGGGTAAATTAAGTGCAATTGCTGTTCCTTTGACCTGTCTCAGACCCTTGATTTAGGTAGAATTGTAAGCAAGGTTGTAGGCATAGTGTAAATGTGATCATAGCACGTTTCTATCAGCCACCTTCTTTTTATATTTGTGTATGTTTAAAAAAACCTGCTCTGACTTGCACTGAGCATTTGTTGTGGCTTCAAAACATGGGAGGTGTCAAAGTTGCCTAAGCAGCAAAGTTGTTTTTCTCCTTTTATTCATTTTCACCTTGTTTGTGCCCCAAATTCAAATCTGAATCTCAGATAGAAATCTGAGAATCAGATCCAGCAGAGTGAAGATCAGCAGGAGAAGCAATGAATTATCTTAAAACTAAATTCTTTAGCTCTTGATAACACTTTTCATAAAGTCCTTACACTTTAAAGTTTTGTATTCTAAGATACTAATCTTTCCCATCAATTTTCATCAACTACAGGGGGAAAAAAAAAAAAGTACTTTTTCTATACTTTCTTTTTTAGGAAGCTTTTTGGGCACTCCTGGGAGCCTAAAGTCATCTTCTGGAAGTTCAGTTCAATCTCCCCAGGATTTTTTGAGTTTTACAGATGCAGATCTGCGAAGTGACAGTTTCACACATTCTCAACAGGCTTCGTCAACCAAAGATGTACATAAAGGAGAGACTGGGAGTCAAGAGGGGGGTGTCAATTGTTTCACTTCCTTAATTGGGCTCCCTTCATCATCAGCTGTTTCCCAATCTAAAAACTTTGACAGCTCACCTGGAGACATAGGTAATTCAAGCCTTACTTCTACAGCATACAAACGAGCTCAGACTTCTGGAATAGAAGAAGAAACTGTAACAGAGAAGAAACGGAAAGGAAATAAGCAAAGTAAACATGGGCCTGGTAGACCCAAAGGAAATAAAAGTCAAGAAAGTATTTCCCATCTTTCAGTTTCTTCTGCTTCCCCAACTTCATCTGTGGCATCTGCTGCAGGAAGTGTGACAAGCTCTGGTCTTCAAAAATCTCCAACTTTGCTCAGGAATGGAAGTTTACAAAGTCTTAGTGTTGGCTCATCTCCAGTGGGTTCAGGTAGGCATTTATTGGATTTGTTTTCTTACCTCAAAATATGTCTTTATTATTTTAGCCGTAATTCTGAGTATGCTTTTCAAGAACAGAGTATCATTTAAAGTATCTTGAAATTCACATTGGGGGAAAAAAAGTAAAAATTAGAATATGTCAAGTTTTGTTCCATGCATAGGTGCCACTGTTCTGTAGGTGGCTGTGGTAGATTGACCTGTGTATTGACCTATATGCTATATAAATGTAGGTTTTGAGGCTGTAGGGGGAAAAATAAGTTGCATGAAAATAGGTTCTTTAGAAATTACATATGACAGGTTTAGCTAAAATAAATGATAGTTTATACAGACTATGTTGTCTGTATGTTCTGTTACATAGAGAAAACAGAATCAGTACTCAAGCATGTCAGCTGTGCTGAGTATGTCCCTCAATTATTTTTTTCCCAATTTAGTTTAACTAAAAATCAAAATGTCTACATGGAGAATTAACAGTTTAAACATGTAAATGGATATTCTGAATCTGGACCCCTGTGCAGCCAGATGACATTTTCATATTCTTGTGTGCTTTTTAGCAATTGAAATTAGCTGGTTTGTTCTTCCTCTGTTCTAAATGTTATGTGCATCTGGGGCTGTGAGAGGCTTTCTGTTCCCAGTAAACCTGTGTGTGGAATGACCTTGCAGAATACTGTATCTACTGAAGTCTTTGTTGCTTTGAAGTTTCTTTTGAGGCCTTTGTGTTTGGATTAAAAAAAAAGCAAACTATCTGATACCTCATTTTTGTAACTTTGAAATTTTGTCTTTTTTGTTGTTCTAGTGGATTTTTTGCTTAATTGTTCTTTTTTGGGGGGAAAGAGAAATGGAACTTGAATATTCGGTTGTGGGCAGGGTTTTATGCTTTTGTATTGTATATTTTCACTTTATAAGCAAGAGATACTTGAAAAATATACATCAAGAAACAAAAAACTTCGTATTTGTTTCAGAACAAGGCAGGTATTTCAAAACTTCTTCTCAAAACCACATTATTTTAAATCTTTGTTAGGTGTAGGCAAATGATGATTTTTATTACAGGTAATAATGGCAATAACAGTGGCAACTATATTAAAAAAATATTTTTCCTGCATTGAAATCAACAGGGAGAAATGGTATGTGACAAAACTTCCTATTTCACATCTTTTTGATTAAAATGCAGTTTTAAAAACACGTTAACCTTGTATCCGTTATGGACAGAGATCATCCAACAGATTTAGATCAGTGTTCTGGTTATTTTAGTATGAACTTTTTTATTCCTTTATAATCCCTTTGAGGTGGATTATATATTGTTGTAGTTGCGGTAACAGCTGGAAGGACAAGATCTTGGTTTGAAGTGAATGACCCATGTTTCCCACCTTATATTTGTCTTGGAATATTCTGGTCTTTTCAGCTCCTAGAACAGGCCTTTCCCTGGCCAGGTCCATCCTTGCTTCCTTTGTCCTCTTTATTACATCTCACACTTCCATCTGTAAAATGCCAGTGATAATGTTAAACTCCCTTTGTAAAAAGCTTTGAAATACATGGATGGAAATACCGGGTAGGTTTTATTACCTTTATCATGATATTCAGCCTATAATTTCACCTCTGTTAAGCATACTTAGATTCTTGCTAGCCAGCATTAGACCTGTCCTCTAAAACAGTGATATTTTCTGAAGGTGCCAGAGAATATGAATGAAAAACAAACAAACAAAAACCATAAACAAAATCACCCCAACAAAACCCAGAAAACCCAAAGAAACAAAACCAGATGTCTTTGCCTTCGAGCATGAGCTCTAAATTCATCCACAAACTTCTGCTTGTGTCTCAGCATATTGTCTTAATGTGCTCTTCTCCCTGATTTCCCCTCTTTCTTATGGTTGTAGTGCTGCTTTCCTCACTTCATCATAAGCTCTTTCTGGGTTTAGCAGTCCATTTACAACTTTGTTACAGTGAGGAAGGGTAGATGAGTATTACCAGTATTATCAGAAACATAACATTTTCTCAGGTATGATATGCTGATGTTTCTCTTTGAAATGTCTCTGTATTGCCCGGTAACAAATCTAAGTGAATCTAATTGATTTGACCCAAAACCCCAAATAAGATTTTGTGCATGTAAGTGTAGTGAGAGAAAATGCAGGGGAAGTCAAGCCAAAAAGTTTTTACTGACTCTTACTTGGAATTGCCTTCTTATTTCAAAGAAGCAGAATCAGGAATGAGTTAGACTATACTAAACAAAGCTTTTGAGGCACTTTTTCAAGAATCTCCTCTTTTTTTTTTTTAAATAGCCGCCTTAGCTGCAGCTATCTTAAGCTACCATTCTTTTTCCATTTTCTTAAGAGTACTTGTTGAGATCCGTAAAAATTATGAAAATCATTGCTTCACAGACGTATGATAATCCTGTTCACAGTTAATGTTCAAATTAGATTAAATGTAAAGGAAAAGGTATTTTAAAAGGTAATGCAGATTCATCATGTGCTATTTATACATAATTAAATGTCTTCCATAAAACTTTTATTCAGAATAAGTACATTATTTTGTGAAAATTTTGTGAAAATATTTGTCCTCTCCAAACTTTTTTCCAGTCTATAGAACTTCTGTTTTCCTGCTTAATAAGAACAGAGATGTACCATGAATAGTACAAGGCCATATAATTAAAAGCTGTTACAATACATACACTCAGGTTGTATTACAGTTGCCACACAACTGATCTGATGATTCCAAAATTTGAGCTCTTGAATGTTCGATCTTAATGCTCTGTATAATTTTTTCTGAAATGTATTTATAATCTGATAGGAAACACTGTATGCATTACTTTAACAGTGTACTCAAAGGAATGAAAAGTATAAAAAAATGAAATAAAATTTAGTTGGTAGGGTGATAAGGAGTTTTTATATTGAATTAACAGTTTTCTAGTACATCTGTCCCTGTCAAAAAAAAAAAAAAAGGCTTCTTTAGCCAATAACAGCTTATTTTACAAACTGTACTTACCTTTCTGCTGGAAATTAACAAGCACTGCAAGTTTGCTGTCTAAGAAGACATAAGTCAGTTGTCAGTGGTAGTTATATAAAGCTGGTACTGTTTCCCCCAAAATGGGACTGGTCTTTGGAGTGATTTCAGGATCCAGATTTTTTAATGGGGGAGGGTTTCATCTGAACTTTACAATTTTATAGAGCTATTTAACTTTTTAAAAGTCACACTAGTATTCTCAGGATTAAGTTCATTCTCAGCATCCTTCTAGGGAACAATACTTAAAGATTTCTAGTCCAAAGTATTTGTAAAGCAGGGATCCCTTCTGCTGAAGATTTTTATTTTTTTCTTGTCACAACAATGGTGATTAAAGAAGAGAAAACCTTCATCTAAGGACTGGAAGAGATAAGTAGCATCTTGTCCCAGTGCTTACCTCTGCTAGTAGTAGATTCCAAGATCAAATGTTTCTTTTACTATACTTGCACTTTATTTCAACAGTAGTGCAGAAACTAATAAGGTGGTGGGAAGAAGAAAAAATACAGATATAATAAATAACTTTCATACATTCTGTATTTTTCTGTCAAGCAGTTTGTGCAGGCTCTGGCCCCTCGTTGTTTGGAGTACACTCCAGTGCCTGAAGAACTTTCTGAGAACTCATGTCCCACAGGCTAAAAAAAAAAATTATGTGACACACAGTACCTTCTGACTTTTGTGGAGTAATGCAGCAAGGTAAAATGAAAAGCAATCAAGTGTCAGAAGTAAACTGAAATTTCTGTTTTATGGTAGATAAAGTTCTTGCACAGTTATCTTCAAGTTCTGCATGGATACTTGCTGTTGGAAGAATTACAGTGCTTCAAGCACATAGAGATGCTTCTCTGTCTTTCCCAGTTCCGTTCTTGATTTCAAGTGTACAACAAATTGTATAGTATCAACTTCAGTTGCTAAGGGCTTCAGGGGATCATTTGCTTCTATATTTTAATTTCTACATAATTGATTTTATGCCCTTATGAGTACTGTAAACCCTACAACAGCTTATAAAGCAATTCTTTTTTCCCCCTAAGAAGACTGGAGAAGGTTAAATTCCAAATTGGGCCTAGAAATGGTTAGCCCATGCTCTCAGCGTACTTGCTGTGCCCATCTTGTGGAATTCCTTTGTTACAATTGAGGCAACCTTATAATTTGTCTTCCTACATATTTATCTCTACATCATATATATTCTACCCTTTAGCAGTCACATCATATATATTCTACCCTTGACCAGTCTTAAGTATGCTCTGGTTGGCAATACTAGACAGTTTTTGGAATAAAGGATGTATCCAAAACCAGTATTGTACTTCAATATAGCAATATTTCAAATTGGCACAAGCCGCTCTGGGTTGATCTTATGTCTTGTGCAGTCAAATTTCGGCTTTATATAGGAGTTTACTAAATGCTTCAGCTTAGTCCATGTATTTTATTCTCCTTTCTCATCCGATTCAAGCAGTGATGAAGCCTCTGCCAAATGTTACACTTCTGTGCAAGGAGATGATCTTTTAAGCTCGTTGTCATACTGACGATGTAAGAGAACTCCGAGCTTCAAAGTAGATGAGTAACTTGAAATCATTCTCATTGAGATACCAAGTTTCTCAGAGCTTATGTTAAATCTTGATGATGTTATGTTTAAACTCCTCGGTTGCCTTTGACTTACTAGCTAAATCTATTGGGAGAAAGAGTTTTAGACAAAATTGTTCTGAAACAGTTATGCTATTATGTTTATCTGCTAGGTGCCCCAGAAGCTGAAGCAGAAAAAGAAGTCTTGCTGTGTTGAAAAAACAGTTTGTATTCCAGAGGAGACAGAATAGAAAGGACAAATTGATACTAATAGATACTAATGGCCTGTAAGGACTAAGGAAACGGTGTAGAAAACACAACACACAATTCTTGTGCAGAGAATGTCATTCTTCATATTTGAGGCTCAACAGAAATGGTATTGGTTTGATATGAGATGAAAATGTTGAAATTTTGATTGTTGGTATAGAAAACATGGAGACATCAAGTAATTGGGAGGAAATCACATGAGGTAGTTGAAGCTTATGAAAATGGGGATTATCGTGAAATGGATCCCCCATCAATGTTCTTAACTAAAGCAGGTGTTATCAGCAGCTACAGCCAGAAGTAATAAATTGGCATTTCCTAATGATCAGTACCTCATATTTTCATGTTTTCAGACTGTCAGTGTTAAATTTTAGTAAGTCTTTAAAATTTCTGAAGTTGTAGGAGACTGGTGGGTAGTTAATGTTATGTAATTAGGATGTGCCTGATACAAGAAAGAAAAATGTTAGGAGATGTAATGATTAGTGGCGGTTACTGTGAGTTATGGAAAATAACTTATTGGACTTTTTTAAAAATATTTTTTTAATAAAAGCAGTGCCATAGTAGATGTCTACATTTCAGTTGATACAGCATGACATTTTAAATAAAGACCTGTAATGATAGGAAGTCAGCAAACCTTTGCATTAAATGTAGTTAATGGATAAGTCTCAATTTTGATCAGAGAATTATTAAATCAAAGTGTTTACTTTGGGGTTTGTTATTTCCCTATGCATCAGTTATCAATCTTATGCTATTTATTGGAAAATTCTGCAATTTCTGAAAAAATCTGGGTATGAGGACAGGGTAGAATGGATCTCTTGGTAAGCAATAGAACGAAGAGTTGTGTTGGTGGATGTAAAGTAAAAAATTATATCTAAGACAGACAGATGTGTAGTTGCAGGATAAGATGGCTTTCTGGGGAAGGAAGGGCTGAAAAGAAAGAGAATAAAGGTGAGTAATCAGTTATGCCTGAGCTTCCAGTGCTGAGCTGTGTTTAAAAAGGTTTGAATGCATAAACAGCAAACTAATGAGAAAGGTAGCTCTGTGTTCAGCAGAGTGCATCTGGTCTTCAAATGCTGTGTCTAGTTCCGGTATCTGCTATGTGTAAAGAAGAGAAGGATTCTATGACTGGAAAAAGCACTTTACTGTAGAAAAGCTAAGGAATGAATTTATCTGTCTGGATATCATATGGGGAACTGAAAACTGATACTATAAAGATCCTTAACCTAACAAAAAAGGTAAAACCATGATCAAGTGAGAGAAAGTAATAGTTGAAAAATTCTCAGTAATGGCTCTGAAAATCGTCTAGAAGATACAATTTAGTCGAGCATTTTTATTGGATTTGGAGGTGCGGGAAGTTATATGGCTAAGAATCAAATCACGTGCTCGCAGAGATTTTTGTTTAGCTCTTATCTATGAACCTAATTCTGTGCTGTATTTATGCCTTTGATTTCTAAAAAAAATTAACATGGTGCATCAGTTTGGCAGATGAAATAGACTGTAACTGGGCAACTAATGCATTTCAAAATACAGTAGTTAGTGGGAAATTGTCAGGCAGTATGGCTCTGCAGAAATTAGTTCCCAACATGGTATGTTCTATGCTTCTATCAAAGATTGGGAAGAAATTAAAAAAAGTCTTTGCTGCTTTCTCTGAGCGTTCACGGTGGTTTCTAAAAATGTATGTTGTAAGAAATGTACTCGGATGTAATGAATAATAATTCCTTGATTAAGAAAGTTTTGTACAAAAAATACTGAACAATGAACCTTGTAAGAGAGATGTGTTTTGAAAACAGTTATGAAAAACTGATTAATGATGGAGAACTGAACATTATCTCATCTTGAGATGCTTTAGGAAAAAAAGGCTATTGTCATCCCTGTGATACTCATTTCAAGAAGGGATAGAAAAGTTACATCACTTGAAATTACTCCATAGATACTGCAAGTAGCAGAGTACTATATTTAATTCTGATACTAATTTCCTCCTAAAATATGAATATAGGAAAGTTGAGAAGAGGCATACAATGATCAATATTTTTAAAATGTCCTTTTCAGAGAGTCCTAAGATCTTTGATAGACTGAAGTATCTTTAATTTGAGAATATTTCAGTTCACAAAAATGGTTAAAAGCACGATCATAATTGTTACACAGGAAGAATTAATATTCCTGGTCAAGATTTTTTCATTGGTAATTGCATACTGCATACTGGTAATTGCCCCATTTTCTGTTTTAAAAAAAAATGTTGACAGAAAAATACAGACCTCTAATACTTAATTAACTGGGCTGCTGAAAACAAGAAATGTTCAGTCTTTCCACCTTTGAAGTCTCCAGGCTGCCTGACTTTCCATGGAAGCAGTGGTTTGTGCATTAGATACAAATCAGCTCCCTTGTGAATGTCGCAAGACTAGAGACTCTTGGAGCATTGCTTTGAAACAAACTTGATTCAAAACAAAACAAAAGAAAGTTTTCCTTTCTCAAAAAATTGTTCTTTTTTTTTTTTTTTTTTTTTTTTTTTTTGAGTGAAAGCAGATGGTGAGGGCTTTCTGAAGTGAAAAAATGTCCCAGGAAAGGGACGGTAAATTTTAATAACTAGGGTATAGCTTGCATGTCAGGCTGCTTAGGCCTGCTCATATCGGAGATCTTGGCAGCTGTGGAAATGAGATTTTACCTGACGAGTTAATTGTTGTATGAGAACGTAAGTGTCTGTCAGGTTAAAATGGAAATTTTGAAGATTATATACTTTAAACTAGATTCGCAAATTATGGTGTGAGTCTGGGCATTAGTTGCTAGTTACATTTAAAAATATATCATCATTTATTTATTTATTATGATCTGATAGTCAACAGCAAATAGTATGTTTAAATTATGAACTTGTAATGCATTTCAGATTCTAAAAAAACCCAACAAAACAAAAAACAAATTAATATGGAATGTGTATTTTCCTGAGTTCCCTTTTAGGTCTTTCATTTAAAAAGAGAATAAAGAAGATTTTGGTAGTTACTCATTTCAGGAGAAAGACATAATAATTTTAAACAGCTGAGCAAAAAGATGTCATTGTTTATAAATTATTTGAAATTTTGTTTTTATTCAAGCTTTGTAAATCTTCTACCCAAATATGAATTTAATAATGAATAAAATAAATTCTGTAGGTCTAGATTTTTGCCTATACAGAATTATTTGCAGAGTTGGCATCTAAATACAATCCTTTTGAAACATAATAAATACCTGTATAAATACATTGGCTTTTTGTTAGTTGTATCTATATTGGTAGAGAAGAAAATGGACTGGGGGGGCTTAAAGGCTACTTAAGTTGCCGTACTTACTACTTTTCAAATTTAGCTATAAATCTTTCTTGTTTGGTGAGGGAAGGTTTTCAAAGAAGTCTATGACCTTTTTGTAAACTGTTTGCTTTTAGATTATATTTGACCCGTAAGCCTTCGAAGTGCCTTGTATATATTTGGTGTTAGGTTTGAATTCCTAATAAAAACTCACTTATTTTAGGCCTCGGTAATCTGGGTAAACTACACTGTATGGATGAGATCTAGCTGACAGCTTTGCTATTATTGTCGCCTGCATAGTGAACAAAATAACTGCCTGCTTTTCCAGGAGTTGATTATCTTTGCAGATACATGGAGTAAAAGTATGTGGCATTATCATTATTATATTTACAAAAAAAAAAAAAAAGGGCAGAAAAAGAAAATGTACTGAAACTTCCAGTTTTGTGCTTGGATTATGTTAGTTCTTTAGCTCTTTTTATAAAACTAAGAATTAGAATTTAAAATATACAGAGCAGGGGAACAGGGAGACACTCCGAAGCAATTAAGATTTCTGTCCTATCAGATGTCTTTGTTGCAGAACTTATATTTGCTTTAGAGGTGTATCCCTTTTCTGAAGATGAAGGAAATATTCCTTAAATGAAATTCTATTGCTGTATGGAAACTGAAGTGAGATACAGATGGTGGTTGCTTACTTGCAACTATTTAGTTCCCAGGATCTCCTTTAAAAATTAGACTTAAAACCCCCCTTCATTTGATATAACTTTGTATATATAGATTTTTAAATTAAAATGTACATCTTTTTGAGTGTGAACGTTTTTCAGCATCTGGAGCCAATTTACTAG